AGGGACTCCCGTGCCGCCAGAGTCGTGAGCTGCCGGACCCGCAGTCCGGACGAGAACCGCACCCATTATACAGCCGTCGGGCAAGGATGCTGCGCCGTGGGCAGAGAGAAGGACGAAGCCACTGAAAGAAGCCGCCGCCCCTCTCGCCCCAAACCAGAGAGGGTAGCGGCCGCCGGACTCCGCCCCTTACCTGGACCCTTCCTTCCTTCCTTCCTGACCACTGCCCTACCCTTCACGAACCCCGCAGCACAACGAGGACACCAGATCCCCTGTTTATTTTGGACACTTGATTCCCTTTTTTCTGGACACTTTGTTTATTTTCTGTTAATAAACGGTGTCTGTCGTTTGCTCCTCCCGTGACAACACACCCATTAACGTAAACTACGCACAGGAAGTCGTGCGTGTGCTCAAAGCAGTTGGACATAGTGGTGTATTAGAGGTAAAAAATTATATAAATACTGTTCGGTTTCTGGCACAAACCGATCGTTTCGTGTATTCGGACATCAATGTGTCTTCACGAGCCGCAGGGTTAAATTTGGATTTGTCTGTGCATGTTTTTTTTACACTCATAAACTTTGTTACCATTGCCATCCATTATAAGACTGATGGACTCCAACGGTTGGACTTAAAAATCATCAAATGTGTTCTACTGAAGAAACGCAGTCACCTACATCTTGGATGCCCTGGGGGTAAGCAGATAAACATCAAATTTTCATTTTTGGGTGAACTATCCCTTTAACGACTGTTTCTATGGGCCGCGATATGTAAGCCATCCGCTATTTTTGGAACGGTCTGCGAACCCAGCGCAAATTGACTGTATGCGTCTACAACAGCAAGTTATACGCTTGTATATCTTTGAATATGCATCGATTATTATGGTGAATGACGTCAAGTTGACCGTTCCAAAATGGCGGACGCGTCAACGTATCTGGAGCAGTCGAATAGGGCATCTATACATATCTATGGTTAGCAACATGTTAAACATGCTAGAAACATGTTAGCATTGTAAAAAAGATGTTAGCAAAGTGCGAAATCATGCTAGAAACATGCTAGCAACTTAAATCATCATAGCAAAATGTTAAAACAAGTTAGCGACTTGCCAAAACATGTTAGCAATTTGTTAAAACATGCTAGCAGCCATTAACGGATCATGTTAAAACATGTTAGTAACATTTTATGAGGAAAAACTTTTTCAAAGTATTTGTAAACTTTCAGAACCTGACTTTGTCAAGCCAACATCACAGTTTGTCATCAGTCTTTTTTTTTTAATGTTTTATTTTTAAGGAAAACAAGGTTAGATTTTTAAATCTGCCTATTTTAATGTAAGTAAACACATTATTAATAGTGCTTAGTTTAGTTTTTAATATGTTTTCTAGTATGACTCTGAAAAGTGTTTGTACACCTTCAATTTGGCCCCCAAAACAAGGTAGATGAAGAGTCCTAGTGTGGAAGAAATAGACAACAGATTTGTATGTTCCAGTTTTACAGCATGTACACACACACGTTCACTCTCAGTAAATCAGCAACACACGCCTACACAGACTGACTCACGCCGTCCACCTCCCTCTCCTCACACACCGGTACATTTCCTTCAGCCTATCTCACCACACAACTGCCAAAAAGCACACTCCAGTCCGCCCTCACTCTTGAGAGCAGTTTTTAAGTGTGTAGTGTTAGCTAGAGCTTCCTGTGTCAGTAAAACAGGGTTTCGGTATGCAGGAAAAGCATCATGTCTGCTGTTTCAAAAGACATTGATGCACATGTACACTTCTGCAGACTGAAAAGAGTTTATAGCATCAAGAAGGAGCCTTTATTTCATCCGTTAGTGTGTCTCTCTTTACCTGTAAAGGGTCTCTGATTTGGGTGACGGTGGTTGTCTTTCTCAAGTCCCAAGTTACTTTTATCTTATTTTTGAATGTGTTTGTATGCTAACCCTTTAGTTTTCTTTGCAGATAAGATAAATCCAAGGGTGAATCTCATGAAATATGTCTACGTTATATTTTACTCTCAAATCAAAGAAAGAATTAATTAGTCAAACTTTGACCACTTGATTACGACAGATAAAATTTGGGGATAAAATATGCTTTATTATCATGAAAATATTGTCACAAAATTACATTTTTTTTTTTTTATTAAAATTTGAAATATTCAGAAATTTAAAAACAAAATCATTTTCTTTAAATAAATAAACAAATTGAATGTTTTCACTTTTGATTTGAGGGTTACATTTGAGAATTTGGGGGATAACATGTATTTTTATCATGAAAATAATGTTAAAGTGCCCCCATTATGGGTTATGAAAGTTTCATATTTGGGTTTTGGGAGTCCCCAACAACAGGTTGACATCCATGCAAGGTCAAAAAACACTTCCATGGTCTTATAATATGCATTTATTTTTTACCTTACTTGCTCAACGACTCCCAAACGACTTGCTCAATGATCAATTTTTCCAAACCCCTCCTTTGCGTGACGCTATTCTGCGGTGATTGGTCTCATTTTCATTTCATCATGCCTGTAATGCCTGATAAAATTACATTTGTGAAAATTGTAAAATTAAATTTGTGAGCTCAGTGCTGCTTTGTGTACAGCTTTACCAGGGAAACCGCTATTTTAACTCCAAAAGCGGCACCTAGTGGCAAAGAACAAATTTTCATTTTCATTCAGACCAACGCCAAAATCAAGTTTTCCCAGGTCTACGCATGCAACAAGTGGGCGGGCAATATGCTAATGTTTCATGTTGACGTCAACATGAAACGGCTTGGGATCAAGCGGCAACCTTCCGGTCTCTCTCGTGAAACAAACACGGAAGTGACTTAAACTGCAATTCATCGACTGACCACTAGAGGCTAGCTCCAAAAGGGAGTCAGTCCCATAGACTCCCCATGTTAAAATGCCCAACTTTACAGCAGAAAAAAATGTTTACAGCCTGGTACAAAAAGTGGTTTTGGTCTATATAGCTAATTTTGCCCTTCATGACAACTGTGAGGGGGGTGAATTTTTTTATAACTCATCCGTTTAAAGCAGCACTATGTAACTTTTGGCGCTCTAGCGGTGAATAAATAGAACTGCACACATCCCGCGGAAGAAAATTCCAACCGGAGCTACTTCTCTAAGTTTATGTCTATGGCGATTCACGCAGGTATGTGTTACTCCGCAGCGGTGACCAGGCTACAATAGTCTAAATATAAGTACTTATTATAAGTGTACCGTAGTGATTCGGAATAAGACAAAAACGCGGTTTGGAAGATGAATTCATGATGTACTCGCTCATTATATACATTTTGCAAATTTTGAACACAGAAAAAGTTACATAGTGCTGCTTTAAATTATATTAAGCTTTAAAGTTCTGCATAATTAAGGGCGTGGCCACTTGAGTGACAGGTGGATTGCCACTGCTGTCACAACCGTCGAGCTAGGTGGGCGTGGTTTCAGAAACCAGCTCCCGCCTCTTTGCCCATTTTCGATTATTTCAGAGTGACGCGCTGCCAAGATGGCGACGGCCGGCTCCGTCTACTTTAGGCTTCAAAAATGCTCTTCAGAAACCTACGGGTGACGTCACAGACACTACGTCCATGTTTTTATACAGTCTATGCTTGGGATTTGTTTTAAAATCGACTTGTTTCAGTGATTCAGAGTCGACTCTTTCTTTTGAGAGACAATAACTTTATACACGGTGCACTTTCAGATTTAAAACTTTGCAGGATGTTTTCATTCACTTAGAGCTGTGTTACACACTGCATGAAAGGTAATTTTCAAAAATCCATAATAGGGGCACTTTAATGTAATTTATAAAATAAATTTGTAAAATTATTTTAATTTGGGGGGTTAAATTTGGTCTAAAATGATGTAGGAAGATTCATCCTATATATAAAATTGCCAAATTATAAGACAATTTGGGAGGTAAAATGATGTCATGAAATTAAAATCTTAATTGGATTAATGTATTTTTGATTATTTTATTTTCTTTCTTTTGATTTGGAGTTGAAATTTGATGTGGACATGATGTAGGGAGATTCATTCTGTAGATAAAACTCTTTGCCACACTTTTATGAAAATTTACAAGACAGTTTTTTGGAAGAGTGAGTCACGTAAAATATTTTATTATGCTTGGCATCAATCTTTGACATTAATTCAGGAGGAAGATGTCCTGTTGTATTATTAGTAACTCCCTGTAATCGGCCTGCATTTCCTGCCTGTGCCTGTGCACGAGAGAATGGCGTTGCTCAGACTAACATGCGCCCCCTGCTGTTTGCATGCAGTCACTGCATCCAGCAGATCCTGGAGGCGGTGCTTCATTGCCATCAAATGGGCGTGGTGCACCGAGATCTCAAGGTGAGTGACAGGTGATTCGTTCATCTGTGTGTGTGTGTGTGTGTATCGTGCATGCTTTTGTGTACAAATATGCTATGTGTGATGTGCGATTTATGATGAGATGGTTAATATTCAGTAGGGGGCGTGGCTTAAAGAGAGAGGCCACCCAAAACTGAAAATTGTGTCATTTACTCGCGCTCATGTCATTCAAAACCTGTATGGAACACAGGAAGAGATGTTGTGAAGAATGTGGGTTTGTGGTACCCGTTGACGTCCATAGTATTTTTCCATACAGTAGCAACTGTTTGGTTATTTGCATTCTTCAAAATTTCATCTTTTCTTAAGCAACTCGTACAGGTTGAACAACATGAGGGTGAACGAATGATGTCAGAATTTTCTTTTTCAGGTGAACTGTCTTTTATACTCGCTATCTGATTTGGCATGATATTTTGTGTGCATGGATGTCTATGTCTGGCATAAAACTTTTAAATTGTGCTATTATTTCAGATGAAATAATTTTTTATTGTTGATTTTATGTCAATTTCTTTGTGATTTGTTTGAAGACACACAGGTTAGAATGGAATCACTTTCACCAATATAATTCAATATAATCAGGAACGTCTAGAAATACAGTAAATAGGGTCAGGTTTGATTTCATGTTGCTTCTTTTTCCAATCCTACTTCCGATTTGAAGTCGCTTTTTATATTTTAAAGAATCAGGTTATACAAATCTCAGTCTGGATGCGTTTCCAGCATCATTTTCCCTGGATGCAGCTCAAGGTCATTGAGCATTTCACACCATCCTACGGATTCTCAATCAGAACGCTTTTCAAACCATGAGCCCGAAACGTCCAGATGCCATCTGAGCTCCGCGAATAGCTCCAGCAGATGGCAACGGCGGCTGAGCGTCAGAACACAGACACCGTTCGTCTCTTTTCAGAGCAGCATCTGTAGCGCGATGAGGACGACCGGAAGATAGAGATCAGAGATTGAGACTGAATAAGTCTCCCATGATTCTTTGCTCCTGTGGACCCAATTTCCCACCTGGCTCAACTTCCACCAGAGCAGAGGGAAGATAACCTACTTAATAACAGCACACACACACACACACACACTCTCACACTCACGCTGAACGTTACGTAGAGGTGCGAATGTGCGTGTTAAGTGGGATGATGTATTATTAACCCATATATCAAAATGAGTGACAGTAGGTTATGTGAAAAAATGAAATCAAAATTGACTCTGTGTGATTTCTTGATAACTTTGGTTAAATGTTCTGTTTAATTTTTTTATGCAGGTTCAAAAGTTTGGGGTCTATAAGATTTTTTTAAAATGTTTTTGTTAGAAGTCTCTTCTGCTCACCAAGGATGCATTTATTTAATCAAAAATTCAGTAATATTGTGAAATATGATTACAATTTAAAATAAATGTTTTCTATGTGAATATAATTTAAAATGGGATTTATTCCTGTAATGCAAAGCTGAATTTTCAGCATCATTACTCCAGTCTTCAGTGTCACAT